AGATTTTAGGGGAAGAACATATCAATATTCGCATATTCATTCAAAAACATGAAAATTCTTAATGGAGTACCCTCATTTTTGATTGAATTTCTAAAAAACAATATTTATAATGAATTTTAATAATTTTTTCAGATTTTTTTGAAGTTTTATTCTGACCGATTCACCCGATTCCGATCCGGATCGCCGATTCGCGGATCCGGATCGCCGATTCACAGATCCGGATCGGTTTTTGAAAAGCCCGATCCGAGTCACCGATCCGGTTTTTAAACCATTGGTTATAACGGTTAGGTATCATAGTATGAAATACTTTAACGTTGAGGTCTTTGCTTCTAGAAAAAATTATCATAAATATACGTTAATTTTTATTTAAACGAAAATAAAACTCTCAATTTTCATAAATTTTATTTACACTTTTTTTCTCAATTTTGACAAATTTTTTTTTTTTTATCAAAATAGCCTTTACAGTAGTCGTATTACCGTGAAGGCTTTATCATTACAGTACTTTAAGTAATATAATGCGGTAGGCATTACGGTATTACAACTACCGTGAAAGCTATTTTGGTAAAAAAAAGTGTCAAAATTGAAGAAAAATAGTATGGACGAAGTTTATGAAAGTTGAAGATTTTTTTTTTTTCCAATTAAGCGAAAATTAAGGTATAGTTATGAGAATTTTTTTTTTTTTTTAATTTTTATTTTTCATGTTTGCCCCAATCCAATGGTTTAATCGTGCGGATTTTATAAGACTGAGGTTCTAAATAATTAAAGTAAGGCACACCTCCAAATAATATTGAAAGATGTCATTTCGGTACAAAAAGTCTTTGTAATGGCTTGAAAAATTATTTTCATATCTAATTATAAAATTTAAGGCTTCAAAAATAATGTAAGATCAAGTAAATTTATGAACACTTAATAGTCTTCAAAATTGACAGCTTAGATAATGCATTATATGATGCACCATTTCTAAGACTTGCAGTCCATTTTTGTTATACATCCATGTATCTCGAGATCGAGATGATCGGATTTGAGGTTTTTTGGCATCAGAGAAATTTTTTCTGATGAATTTTTGAGTTGCACCTTAGTTTGATAACTTGATTGTTTAGGGTCTCATCCTTATATAAACTTTTTTTCTTTTCTATTTTTATGATTGTTTAGTGTCTCATCCTTATATATCGAGATGATAGTTTTAAACATTAGAGGTGCATATTAAATTTATCTTTTCTATTTTTATAATATTCATATGCAATTGTGACCGCCCTATACTTTTTAGTCGGTCTGATGTTAGAAACATGAGACCACCTTAAACAACCTCTTATCAAAGAAACTACCATGAAAATTCAATTTAGAGAAATTATCAGAAATATACCTTAATTTCTATCTAATTGGAAAAATACTCTCAACCTTCACAGACTTTATCCACACCTTTTTTTTCTTAATTTTGACATTGTTTTTTTCAAAATAGCCTTAACGATAGTCGTATTACAGTGAAAGCTCTATCACAAGATATTGTAATGTGGTAGTCATTACGATAATACATCTATTGTGAAGGCTATTTTGATAAAATAAAATGTCAAAATTGAGAAAAAAAAGGTGTAGACGAGATTTATGAAAGTTGAGAGTTTTTTTTTTCAATTAAACGTAAATGATAGTATATTTATGATGATTTTCCTTCAATTTAATATGCCCATCCAATAGTAGTAGCCATTTTCCTTTTGGTCTTACTGTAGAGACATTTTGAGTTTTGTGAAGATTGGGGACAACATTTACTTTACAAATACTATCTTCTTCCTTTGTATTAGCATACGATAATCCTCTCCTTAGTCCTATTAAAATTTGAACATACCCCTTTAAAAGTGCATCTATTCCTTTCCAAACACGACAACCCTCCTAAAAATCTCCCAAAACGACAAACCTCTTTCAGGAAAACTTGATATATTTAATTGATCAAAAATATTAGTATGTCTATGGGGGTAAAGATGGTCATCCGATAGAAAATAAGGCCCACATCCATAGCTGATAAATATATGGACAATGAAATAAAATGTGATCCCCAATATCTTTATCCTCCTTGCATAGTATACATACATTAAAAATGAGCATTCCGCTCTGCCATAAATTGTCCACAAGGCCTTGTTTTGAGATAAAATATAGATAAATATTCGCACCTTGTGTGGGATATGCCATTTGCATATACGATTTAAAACTGAAGAAGCGGTAGCTTCCCGGAACATGTCGGTGAACCAACCCTTTAG